CAAAATCCTAGAAGAGGAAGCACAAAAATTCCTCGTCTAAGTTTCACAACATCTAGATACATTATGCCAATTATTATGGTTACCAATAAAGTGAAAATCCTTACCATAACTATATGTGCAGTTTTTAACCTTCCCTCTTAATGGCACCAGGTGCTTCTGCCAACCCTTTAACTTTCAACCGATCAGCTGTTTTAAGAAATGCGGGCAATTGATCTTGCGATACATTAACTTCTCCAGCATACATAAATTCCAAAATAGCTTGAAGGTGGCTGTATGCGACATCTTTTAGAATTATAATGGGATGTTTGGACGGATTTTCCTATAACACCTTGGTGGTTAACTGCCTTATCATAAACAGAACTTTGTTCTAAAAACAACAACCTACCTCTAATAATGACTTAAAGTAAGGACTACAAGCGGACAACACCATCTTATGTGCTTTACAAGTCTGACCATCGCAAGCTAACGTCACATCCGTGAAGCTTTTCTCATCTCGTAAATGTTTAAACGACGATACCATATTAGATTGGAAATCATTCCATTTAAGAAAAAACTGTTGCTGTTCATCTGCCATTATGGACACCCGGTATCCTGACAATCTTCCTTTGAATTTGTAAGCTGAAAATATTCTTATTGAAAACACACAACAATCTATGGTATACAAACCATAATATTACATAAATATTATAAATATAAAAGTACTATGAAATAGATAAGGATGTATTCTATGCAGAAAGCATACAAATACGCGTTGGGACTAACTCTATCCTTCGCGAGTAACAAAATAATATTGTATCGACGAAAATTGATCCGCAAGAGAAAGAGAAAGTTTCGAAAACATTTATAGTACCGAACGCTGCGGAATCGCGCGGAATTCAGCGTACCAGATTTCGTTTAGGTTAAACCCAAAACACATTCAACAGATTAGATTGGGCGCGTTTGGAAACATTTGCTGAACCAAAAGCGCAAGCGAGGAAAAAAGTATCTCAGCATAACGGGAACTAGTTTTATCCTGAAATGCGAGTACGCTTCGCGGGACATATTAATCGCATTTTGTCATAACAATACACGTACATACGACGGGCCGTTCCGTCAAAGGGACTCGTAAGACCCAACACGACCTAGGAAAATAAAACGCGCGTGAAAAATAACATAACGAGTTGCCTTACTTACCACGAGTAAACAGACCACCGAATCCACTGAGGCAACAGTGATTCACAAAAGGAACGCGAAAAATATATACACTACCAAAAAGTTTTTACGCGAATGTTACGAATTTTTTGTTGCGGCTAATATCACGTCGAACAAATTCGGTGGAATTCGGGTATTTCCGTCGCAGATCGGTTCGAAAACACTGTACCGACTGGCAACGGTTTCGGTTTTCGAGCGCGAGATGCCGTGCCACGCGTCTTTTCAAAGAACGTTTGAAATTCTCGCTTCATAAATGTCAATCCAAAATTGTATATCGACGTCAGCGTGCAAAATGTATTCTCGGCTATAATATTAAAAGACTCGATCTCTCAAAGTGATTTCCTACACGAAAATAGAGATTCTGTATCATACTGCTTAATTTTCTCTGTTTAATTGTGAAACCTCACATTTCATCTTCAAATTCCGTTTCGATCACGTGCAATGTTCTACCGTAAAGTCAGAATATATTATGCTTGAACCATCAACCATTTCAACCGCGGCAAATTCTGAACAAGGATCTAGCATCTAACGCCGATAATATCCTCTCTCACTTTGTTGCCGCTAATTGCGCAATGTCACGCAAGCAATTGGACAGATATCAGCATATGCGCTAACTGACAAATCGAATGTACCCGCTGGTACATAGAAATCGGTTTCAATCAAGTGGTCAACGGCTATAGCAGCAATAATCTTTGGTTGAATATCTCGCGGTATAGATCGTCTGGTTGATGTGACGAGGACCGCGTGAGTCGAAGAAAAAGGCACGTTGAAGTTCTACACTAATTATACTGTGGAAATAACAGACACTTTGTTCTCTATGAATAGTGAACAAACGTCACTTGACATTGTTAAATCCGCAGTTCGTATAGCGACAATTAGATTATAAAGATCCTCACTTGTTCTAACAGTATTCAAGAATTAGGTTTAATAAATTGTATCCACAAAATAACGAATTTCGAATTTCTTGTTTTACAAATATTCGTTTCGCAATATTGCAATAACTGTAACACTGTGCTTTATAACAATTGCAGAATTAACTAAATTTATAAATTTACACGTTTCAATAAAGTTCAAATAAAATCTCAAAAAATGCACTCGTATGATTTTACAAAATTTGACGGGTCAATCGTTTAAACAACTTAATTTTAACGTTAATTTTTCATGCATCGATAGCCACGGAGTCATGAATATAATTTCAGAAAATAATGACTATTAAATCATTAATCCGTAAAACGAACAGTGATAGAAAGATTAATCGGCATGTCCCTAAATGGGCCGCAGAGAAAACACTTTAGCGGGTTGACCCACAGGGGTATCAAGTTCAACGTAGCGTTCGTGTATACCCTAACAATACCGTATCTCTCCCATCGGTTATACATTACCGAGGAAAAAGTTCAGAGGAGCCGACGGAGTCCGCGGAAAGCCTTTCAATCCCCGCGGAAAATCTATAGCTCGTAAGGGACCAGATTCGTGTAAATGAGTTCTTATAAATAGAACCAAGAAAGTCGAGCACCGGAAAAATTTTCCTGTCGCGCGATGCCGCGAACAGGACAGCCTAGCGTGTCAAACCCGTGGGACCGACAAAGAGTGATCGAGGGCCTGGGAGGAGAAGGAAGAAAGAGATAGAGTGAGATAGAGCGAGCGTGCGAACGAGCGAGCGAACAGAAAGGGAGGGAAGGGATAATAGAAAGGAGAAGAAGAAAGATGGAAACGTTGAATCGAGCTTCTTGGAAAGGGGCTTAGGAGGGGAAGGGAAGAGGTTGGACGTGCGCGCGGATACCGCGGCTGTTAGCGCGCGGATCGCACCGAGCTGAAAGAGGAGAATGGAGAGGAGTGGCGAGGCACGAGGGAAGCGCGGAGCGTGAGCGCAAGCGCAATGAGGCATGGAGCTGGTCTGAACGCGCGCCACATTGAAAGCTTGCGACATGCCGCGAAGCGGTTCAGTCGCGCGCCAGCTTTCATGCGGGTGGTATCGTTTTCTCGTTTTTCCCGTCGTTGTTCTCCTGTGGTGTATCGTGACGAGCACAAAAAACCCCGCGTAGGCGTGGTGAACATTCACGCGTTGGCGCACAGACTCGAACCACGCGGATCTAACCGAATAAGAAAACCGTGGCGGACCCGAGGTGTCGGTAGTCGAAAACGATCGGGAACGCGCCTCGACGTGTTCGCGTCTGTCCTCGAAAATTGGAATAGTCGAGGGTCGGCGTTTTGCTACTCTTGGACCAGTGTCAGATCTCGGTCGATCAGCGCGCAGCGGGAAGATCCCCGGCTTGCCCGGCTGTACGAGATCGTTCCCGTAGTGAAGTTTCGCCCGTACCTTTAACACCCCGGCTATTGCCGTTCTCTATCGTGGAAACGGTGTCGAACGGAGAATCGAGTGATCCGTTTCCATCAGGAAAAAAGACACCAAGATCGTCGTCTTACGTCTCCCGCATAGGGGTGATCATTGAAAATTGCGGATAGACCAATTATATCTTCGTATATCTGTGATGTGCGTGTGAGCAATGGAGTCACCAGTCATGTACGATTCAGCGGCCCATCAGGCCCAGGCCCATGGCGCGGCCGATCTCAAGAAGTCCCAAGTACTGAACAACAACAACAACAATCACCAGAGCAACAACAACAACAACAACGCGCCAAACAATAACAACAACTCTGCCCTGCAGGTGAATCATAATCACAATCAGCAGCAGAACAGCGCGGTGGTGAGCAAGGTCTCGGCGAGCAAGGCTAGCCTTCACCAACAGTACGCGGAACATTGCGCCGCGGCCGGCGAGCTGACGGACCTGAATACGCCGGAGATATCGTTAGATCTGCAGCACCTGATCGACGATAGCCACTTCAACGACGGCTTGTTGGACATGCTGGGCGCGAACAACGGAGCCGTAAAGCATGTCAGAACCTCCGGTTATCCGCGCACCACGCTGGCTTACATGCCGCAGCCGGTACACAGTGGGGCAAGTTACCATCAAGGCAGCAACAGTTGCAGTGACAGTAACAGCTCCAGTTCTGAGTCGCCCAGCATCAAGGAGGAACCACTGGACCCAGCGGAATACCGTCGCCACTGCCCACAGTATCCACCAGGTGGATACAGTCCAGTTACCAATGGACCGTTTGCCAACGGTGCGCCGACATTCACCACCCTGACACCGTCCACGGTACCCGGTGGTCATCCGGGCGCGCCGGTCCACCAACCACCGCCTAGGGGTGGTCCGATGAAGCCGGTAATGGCGCATCAGCATCACGCGAACACCGCGGCAGCCGCTGCCAGGAAACAGACCAAGGCCATCGACAAGGCGAGCGACGAATACAGGAGACGACGCGAGAGGAACAACATCGCCGTAAGGAAGAGCCGCGAGAAGGCGAAGGTACGATCGCGGGAGACCGAGGAGAAGGTGAAGCTTCTCGTGAAGGATAACGACCTGCTCAAAAAGAGGATCGAACTGTTGACGGAGGAGCTGAACGTACTCAGATCCCTGTTCAGCAGCGTCGGCGTGGTACCGGAACAGCTACATCGTGAGATCTCGAGGCACCTCGATCAGTTCCAGCAGCACGCGGTGGGGCCCATGTAGCGCACGAAGTCGCGTCCGGTCAGCGCGTTGGTGTCGCGCTGTCGCCCCTTTCTCTCATCCACCGGCGTCGACCTTCGGCCCGTGACTTTCGGCCCGATACGATTGTGAGGGGAGAGTCATTATTGGCTGCCAACTTCCGATTTCCGGGGCTACGGCTCTCGATCCTTTCGCGCCGTCCGAGTCGAACGCAGAGGGAAAAATAGAGAACCGGTCGTGCATACGTAAAACGTTCGCGGCTCGAACCGACGAACGGTTACTGCGTCTTTGTCTTAATTCCACAAGTGGAGAACACGCCGCGGTACACGTGCACAGCTCGAGAGAGCTAGCCGCGCCGCTCGTGGAGAACCGAATAGACGTGGAGGTAACGGAGAACGGAGACAGACGGATAGACAGATGAACGCAGAGAGGGATAGGTAGAGAGAGGAAGAGAGAACGAGCGAAGGAGAAAGAGGGAGAGGCCGTGACTCGATCGAAGAACAGGGCCTCGCCGTTTCTCCTGGGGAGAGCTTTTCGGCAGCTCACGGTCGACGAGTTCGTGTGGAAGAAAAGTGCCTCCGCTCATGGCGAACTATTTTACACCGAGTGCACCGGACACTTTCCCCTCCCCCAGAACCCCATCATACCGCCCGTCACCCACAAATTTCCGTCTCTGTACAAAATAGAAACAAATGAACGGAAGAAAGAGAGAAGCCACGCGTGGTGCCGCTACGTGGAGATCGCCTTCGAGGATCCGGACACGAGTACACCGCGAGAAAAATTGTATTTTCTATCCGAAACTAGAAATCTTCGGGACCCGTACTATCGATTCTTTGTTTCTTCTAATTTTACTCCCTTAATTTTTCGTATCTAAACTTCATTTCTTTTTTTGCAACTACGTAAAGACTGGGTGGTTGGTAATGCCGCGCGTGTTTTTTTCGCGGGTTCGCCACCTCATTCGATCGCGTAATTCGCAACATGTTGCGACTACGAACAAATCACGCGTCGATGTGTACAAGCGCATCAATCACACTCCCACAGACACACGGACTCGATTCGTGCACGGCGAGCGCGACACCGAGCATGCGTGCGCGCGGAACCGCTCGTATACGTGACGCGAATAAGTGAGTTCGTTCGCATAAATCATCGATCTTCTCAGCGTTATACATTTTCGATGCATCTTCCATAAACGTTCGAAGGCGTACACAACCGATACGTTAGAAAACATGCACGCACAGGCGGAACCAGGCGCGAAACAATGATCACCGGGGAGGAGCGCGCACGCGCGCACGTAACGCCGCTGTCCCGTACCGGATTTGTTTTTCAAACAACTCAATTAGATTTATTGTTTCCCATTTACCAAGTACCTTGAACAATGAAGCATACCGAGACACCGAAAAACCGTGATGTATCAGTATCGGTGCGATAAAACGGCGTAAAAATGTCACCGATCGTTTCCACGATCCGCACGCGTGTATCGTATTTTCTCGACAGAAGAAGAACGCGGAACCGCGATCATCCGAACGAAACAAGCGTAACATGTTTAAAAGAAAAAAACCAAGAAACCAATATACAAAAAAAAAATGATCACTCTTACAACACGCCCTTGTATTATAGCTCTATATTAATTTTATTATTATTCGAGAGATGTATGTACATAAAAAAAAAGTTAATATATTTTGTTAGAGAAAAGAAAAGCGAGATATGTTCGTGCTTTTTGCGAGTCGGAGCGAGCGAGTGCGAGAGAGCGAATGTATTTGTGAATAAGAGCGACAGGAGGAATCGGAAATAAACATAATTGTTAATTAGACTTGCGCGCATGTGTCCGACAAACAATCGTTATAGTTATACATTTTAATGCGGAAGCATGCTAGAGATTACAATGTGTGCGAGAGACAAAGAGCGAATGAGTGAGTGAGAATGAGAGAGGGAATGAGAGAGAGAAATTCTATATTTCGCCGACGTTACCTGGGACTCGGTCCAACCGAGCCCCTCACACCTTGAGTTACCGTAAAATCGCGTGAAGCGGGCTTCATTTTATTAAGTCTTTTTTTTCGTCCTTCCTCGTTCGTAGATTCGATCGTGTGCGAGAGAACGATATTTGTTACTACCTTATATACGTACTTGTGCGACAAGTTTAATCATTTTTCTTCTTTAATTCTTATCTTTTTTTCTCTTTTCTAAGACGTTTTGTCGGGTCTCTCGGTGATGCACGACTCAAAACGGCGCGTGCACGCCTGCATCGACGCGCACGCCCGCGAGCTACGTTTCTGCGCGCATGCACGTGCACGCGTTTCTTGGCGTATGACTGATGTATGTTAGGTACGAGATTACCTGTCACGGTTGTCTTCTTGTCTATGCACAAATATATTTTGATATAAAAAAAAATTGCACGTCTATTTTGCTCATCCTTCGTCCATTCTCCTTCCTGCCTTCAGTCTACACTCAGCGGATCTATCGAAAATGTAAATCGTAAATGATATTAAAGGAAAGTGATGAAATAAAGTACTTATAACTTGATTTGAAGTAGTGTATTTCTATTTTTAGTACAATCAACTTAAAATTATTCAATTCGCTAGTCTTTGAATAGCTATATTTAAGAAGTAATTTCTCTTTTCGTGGGCACATTTTTTTGCCTGTTCTAGTAATTATGGATAAACAAACAAATTCTTGATGAATTCGTCGTCAAATGTCAAAAAGCTTGAAAATCTTTTTACAGAAGCGCTAAACCAGTGCTCGTCGAGCTCTGTCCGCTGTAATTCAATCGGAAGCGAGTAGGACCGACAATCAGGAGGCAGACAGAAACTTCGCGTCGTCATCCCTGTTTTTCCAATCTACCCGACGAGTGTTTATGTTCAGTAGACACGACGTAAAAAACAAAACGATCGATCATGACTTTTCCACGTTTCCTCCGCGACGATAAGCCCGCGTTTCCGAAATAATCACTCGCGTTTGAATGTCGAACGGGAGCAAACAATGCTCGGATAATCAGAGTACAGTATTGAAAGGAGTAAAGCACCTTCGGCGCGGGGGTAAGCATAGCGGCAAACCTGTTCACCGTTAATGTAACGAGAAAAATCAAATCCCGTGCATACATCCACACGTACGCACGTGGAAAGCAATCAGGACTGCAGGTCGCGCGAATCCGACGTGTAATGAGTCACGAGATAAGTTTGTTGTTAGTCAGATAAATAGATTAACAGCATTGTGACGATCAGGGCGTTCCGACCAAGCTTACTGGGAACAGGATACGAACCTTCGGCGCTTTTGAAAATCTTGCTCGTGAAATAGTGGACGACCTTGTGTCACGATCAATTACATAATTTTTCAATAAATTAAAATAAAAATTAGGTACGCATTCTTTATTCTTCCAATTTAAATTAATAAACGAACACTGATGAATTGTACTCTCGAAAAGTCGAATCTTCGCGTTTCGTCTTCTTCGAAGCTGTTATTCCTTGCCTCTTTTTAGTATAATCTTTGAAAATTTATGAGCCTCGGAATTTGCAGACGAACGTAATTGGTTGGGTGGGCCAGCTGATCCGCATAGCCAATCTTATCGATCAACAGGTTCTCTGAGTTGGAGGACAATGTCGCGTTTTCGCGCACGCATGCTCGAATTCCGGCAATGTCAGCCACAGGTTGAGAATCCTCGGGGCATGTTACTGTTAATAATCGATTAGCTGCACATTACCGCGATCAACGACAGAAAATACGCTATTTGTATGTATGTATATTACGGCGCAGACACTACTAGATAAATATGCAAATATTCGTGATAAGCCGGCTACTGTTTTCTCTTAAACACCGTCGACATTCGAGAGTCGTCAAACTGAGGTAAAAGGTCTACTTCGGCGTGGTAGAACGCTTTTGCAAATGGATCTTATCGAGCAAGTGAAAGTGACGAGTCTGTGGGTCTATATTTGACTTCGATAAATCGTCGATGGACAACGGTTACGGCTGACACGTTGCTTTCCCGAAAGTTTCGATCAAGAACATGACGTGCCTTGGAGGAACCATTAAGTACCTACACATTCCCGGAGAGAATCAACCGGTGGGCAAGGTAACCTTTAAACTTAGGACTCCCATGGAGAATACCTTTTATATTCGAAGTCTAACAAACTCAGAAGTTTCTGCGTCTGTGAATCATAACAGAGTTAAGAGTTCACAGAAAAATGTCAGGAAACTTACTCATATTAGTACGTAGAACTCAGCAATTTTTATATTTATCAATTGTAATAGAGTTATGAGACCAGATTATCAGAAGAAACTTTGGAAAACTTATTTATCTAGTATTAGTATGTTAGAACTTGAAAGTTTCTGTGTTTATGAATTTTAATAGAGTGAAGTGTGGCGACGCTCGAAAGCATCACAAAACAGTTACTCACATTAATACTTTAAAATTTGTTGCGAGCCAACATTAGTAGCTTAAATTCACAGAGCATCCGCACATTATGTATAAATGTAAATTCTGCGAGAAAGTGTCCTCTCCGATTTTCATCGCCACGAATAGAAACACTAATATCTTTAACATTCAAGCAACATTTAATATGGATACAGACAAACAGAACACAATGAAGCATCACACCGTGAACATTTAGAGACAAGCAAATTACATGCAACACATTTGTCAAATTATCTCTCTTATGAAGTCATGCATATTACAAACTAAACGCGCGATATAAATGTATCTATAGTGCGGAAGCTTCGCAGGAAAAATGGTGAAAAAGAAAGAAGCAGATTATTTAACACACACATATGATAATGAGGACATACATAAAAATCGGTAATGGATCGAGTAGGTGCGGGAAAGGCGTTGCCTTAATAGTCTCCCGATAGGGAATCGCCGCCAAGGCAAGCCACGGCAGAGTCTTCTGAACTCGGGACAAAGAACTAAGTACCTCGAAGCTTACTAGCATCCAGCCAGAAAACTCCTGGGGTAAGACAGAAGTTCCACCGTTCAGGAATTCCAAAAGAGTTAGGAGCCGCTAAACTTAGAATGTCGTCGGATTTATGAATGTCTAGGCGTAGAGGTACGAGTATCCGAAGATAGGACCTACCCAGAACATCAAGACTGGGGTGAAGTCCGCGAAAGTTACGGTTCACTTGGCAGCGCGCTCACGATCCACCGTTAAGAGGGTAACATAATTAGTCGTCAGCTTACGTCAACCTGTCTCAGGGCTGAAGACCGCCCCGGGTTATAAATATGCGGTCGCCGCGGAAAACCGTTTCCGGAACGCGCTCGACCTTCCGTCGTCGTCCAGAGGAGCGCGTTTCCTCCCGTCCGCGCGACGTTGGAGATGCGACGAATGGGTACAATCGGTTTCTTGTTCCGGTGAGTGAGCCTCGGATCTAATGGGGATCGACGTCGTTTCGCGGCGGCCGAGCAACGCTGACACACCTGCCGCGGACTAATCGATACTTTAATTACCCCGACGACCGGTTACGTAATCGCGGAGCCGATGTTCCGTCGATCGGACCGCGCGTCGGATCTGCCAGTGGAGAGCTAGATAATACCGCTCCAAACAGTCTGGCTGTGCTGGGTGACGGAACGGAGGCGAAACGAACGCGCTTCCGCTCCGCGTTAGGAGGCAGAAGGCCGACGAATGCGGATTGTGCAGCTCAACGCCGCGTTAGAACTATGACATAATGCACCGAGTTTTGACGCCGGTGTGTCTACGTGCACATGTCTCTCGGCCGTCGCTAGTTTTAGACACAAGCTCTGCCAACGACGGTCGCTTGTCCGACGCGATGAATTTCGACGGACTCGCGGGATTAACTGGGAATAAGCGTGCCATGAGTCGGCCCGAAACTCGAACGCGACTGCGGCATGCGAAATATTCACCTCGGAAGCGAGAAACCGATGTTACGATGGCCTGATCGTGTTCCAGAGGCCAGCTTCTACGAAAGAAGGTCCGCCGTTAATCGCCGTCCGCGTATCGAACGGTTCATGGCTGAGAGGACTCCACCCTCTCTTGTCGAAAGCGCTTTTCTTTCGACCGGAATCGGTAAGTTCTGACAGCGTCGTTGTTACTAGCGATACACTGGCAACGGTATTATTATACGCACACCCTCCTATTATTCGTCTCTATTCTGGCTCCAACGGTATATGGGTTAGGGCCAACTCCACCAACACCGTTCCTCACCCACGCGTCCGCGCGCCCGCTTCTTTTCCCTTGCTCGAAGAGGAACGCGTATTATCTCCTACCGACGAGCGTGTTCACGCTTGATCTGAGCCGCGCATAATTCGACGAACTCGGAAAATACCATCGCGCCTCGTAAACGTCCAGCCATTCTAGAATTTTCAATTGGACCTCTTTCTAAATTCCGTGTAATATGAATCTGAGACAAGTCGCGCTCCGCGCGTTAACTGCGAATCGAACGTAATTAATTCCTCCCACGGCAACCGTCTAATTTTTCTGTAATAAAATTATGTTATAAAAGCGACTGTTCATAACGACTTATAAATACCGTAAGAGCACGTTAATTAGAACTTTACGCGACGTTTATCGTAACACGCGAATGAATAAACTTATTTAATAATTTCCTGCAAAACCACTTTCAGGATTTTAGTAGTCGTAAACCAAGAGGCACTAAGTGGATCGTTTCGATCCATCCAGTGCTTCTGGTGTTAATAAACCGGCCGGATACTTCCAAATACCTGGAAGTACTGTTTCCTATATCAATGAGACGAGACAATATCACGATCCTGCGACAATTTCTCTAGATATCTCCATCTTTCAACCTGCTAATATGAATTCGAGTGTTCTTGTGGATTTTGAATCGCCCTGCGAGGTAAATTAACCCCTTGCCTTGAAATAACGCATCAGACTTGTGATGAAGATTTTTAATAGAATTTAACACGCACAAATATCACTCGATTCTTTTGAATTCAAATTAAATATTATTTTTCTCTTATCAATTATTATACTTTGGAGTATTTGGATTGATATAGAATATGCCAATCTTTTTATATTCTTTTTCTTTATAAATTATTAATGACTAAGTAATTGTATCAATCATAGTTGAGAAATAAATTGTAGAACAAGGGATTAAAGGAGTTCCTTTCCGCGGTTACTCAAAAAACCACCGTAGAACACGGTTCTCCGTTGTTGTTGGGCCAGAACTCATGAGTTTCCCTATTCTCGCGCGTCAGATTGAAAAGTATCTGGCCCGGAGTTAAAAGGGGAGACTCGTAGATCGGCATCGCGGTTCACTGCTGCGAGCACGATGTGGGTGTGACCTGGTTTCCGAGAGTTTCACTTTCCTGTAACATCGTTGCACGGAGGAGGTAAGGAGGATTCGACCCCAAGAGTTACGTCATGCATTGTTATGCCGGCCGTAACGGGTCGTAGACATACGTGCGGTACTCCGCGGGAATTAAAATAAGTGAGCGACTATTTCGCTCGGCTAGATGAAAATCCATCTATTCTTTTGACTGCCGAGTCTTTC